TTACTTTATCTCTCTTAACCATAATTTTAAGAACGTAATTTATACATGTATTACAAATTTCGATTCAACTTCATTTTCCGAAGAGCTTCCCTCCCCGCCTTTTTCCCCCCCTCGAGCAAACTGTGAACGTCGTCAATAATCTATTTCAAATTCGGTTGAACGCACATTCTATTCCAAAGTATTTACTTTTACTATATTTAATTCCTTTTTAAAATTTAGTTCTGTCATTGATGCGCAGACCGCAACCGACCCCGTTACGTTTATACAAAACAAAATGATGTAGTCAAGACCCACTAGTTTTCCAGTGCAAGGGAGGCTACCCGATTTTTAAAAACCCAATATCTGTCTGAAAGCATTTATGTCCCTTGGTCCACCTACCAACGACAAACTTAAAACGTTTGAAAAGGATGCGCAACCTGTTTGCGTCTGGGGGTACCATACCATTATGATATTTTCCTGTGGTTTCGAGCTCGTGGCAGTCTAAACTGAAACATAATATTATAGCCTCCATTAACTCTTTCGGACAGGGGTCATTTCTGTGGTTTCTCTTGTTGTATATTGTATGTCTTAGTTTAGTTTTAGTAAGGGTTTTACGGCACTTGCAATGCAATAAGGTCACATAAGTGCCGAAGATTAGAGGTGTTACAAGAAAGAAACAAACACAAAATAGAAGAAGGGGACAAAAGGACAACAAATGTTTGATAGGAAAGAAGGAGCAAACCACACTAGAGCACCCGCCAACCACCCGCTTTTGTATGTCTGTTGTCGATTATGATAGTCAAACCTGCTATAACAGTTACCTGTCCAAGACAATCCCCTGTACAGACCACCACTACACACTCCTCCATTTTGTCCTTTTTTTTCTTAATCACGTCGTACAAGACGTCGATCTGCTTAAAACAAAACATTTTTTTCTCAACAATTTGAGACTGTCTTGGAAAATACTTTTGACTCTATTTAATTAGTACACACAATCAATTCCGCCCCTTCTTCTGTGGTCAACACAAACAGATGTTCCCAGCTCGTGAGACATGTATTTTTACTTGGCCTAATGTCCTGTCTTGTTGTGCGTTTGCGTGAGTGCACCTTTAGGTCAAACTTTTGTAACGTCTACTGCCATTGTTAACGACCAAGACAAATTTCTTCCTGCGAGATGAATAAAGATTGTCATTGTCATTGTGTGTTTTTCGTCAAACTCGGCAACACAGAAGGCCTCTGAAGGTGAAGAAACACAAGAAAGATCACAGAGTTGGGGGAGGGGCAGAAGCAGGAAAGGAAACCAAAGAAAAAAGCGACGGACAAGAAGGAAGTAGGACCACCATACATAGTCTACACAAGATAATTAAACCCCTTTTGTTTTATATTTCAATTTTACGGCACTTGCTACACAATTAAGTCAAAAAAGTACCAAAGAATAGAGGAGTTACAAGAGAGTTACAAACATAAAAGGAAGAGGAGAGATAACAACGATAGACGTTTGATAGGAAAGAAGGGGGAGAGATAACAACGATAGACGTTTGATAGGAAAGAAGGGGGAGAGATAACAACGATAGACGTTTGATAGGAAAGAAGGGGGAGAGATAACAACGATAGACGTTTGATAGGAAAGAAGGGGGAGAGATAACAACGATAGACGTTTGATAGGAAAGAAGGGGGAGAGATAACAACGATAGATGTTTGATAGGAAAGAAGGGGGAGAGATAACAACGATAGACGTTTGATAGGAAAGAAGGGGGAGAGATAACAACGATAGACGTTTGATAGGAAAGAAGGGGGAGAGATAACAACGATAGATGTTTGATAGGAAAGAAGGGGGAGAGATAACAACGATAGACGTTTGATAGGAAAGAAGGGGGAGAGATAACAACGATAGACGTTTGATAGGAAAGAAGGGGGAGAGATAACAACGATAGATGTTTGATAGGAAAGAAGGGGGAGAGATAACAACGATAGACGTTTGATAGGAAAGAAGGGGGAGAGATAACAACGATAGATGTTTGATAGGAAAGAAGAAGTCAGCCACACCAGAGCAACCACCCACCAACCCTGTCATGTTGACTGACAGCACTCATCACAGCGAATCATCCTACAATCTACAATAAATAAATAAATAAATAAATAAATCAGAACGAACACTTAATACTCTTACATTGATTCTACTCCAATAGTCTCTTTATACATTTTTCCACACTCTGGAAGTAAAGAATGGATGCAATGTGCAAGGCTCATAAACATTATGCTTCATTTGGTTGCTGAACTAAACAACTCAAGTCTCTAAAAGCATCATTTTCCTTCTATGGTTGAATCTATCAAGGTTTAACCAAAAACAAAGTCAAAAACAAGGCTAGAATAAGATGATTTTTATTCCAAGTTCATGTTTTGTTTCCAAGCAAGCACACGAAGTATTTCTTTCATTCTTAAAACAAAGTTATTTTCGGCGAAATCGATCGTACTGCTAAAAAATTATTGACATGTCTTTTCTTTTCTTCCACAGCACGCAAGAAGAGCAAAAGTGAAATTACTTCTTTCCATGAAGAGTTAAAAACCATGTCACAAACAGATACCCAGATCTATACAAATCTACTGGATGTAATGGTCATGAGAAGAAACATCACAAAAACAGTCATCTGATATACTGCAATGAAAGAATACAAAACTGAAAAGGAATGAAAATATGACGATAAACCAGCTGGACTATTTTCCCCCGGGAATATTCAATACTACATTCAGCTAAAGACACATTTTTATCATTTTCCTCTCTGAAAGAACCTGTAAGATGGTAGTGCTGTGATGAACAAGGGTATTTTGAGCGGATTTTGATGGCTAAAATAAAAGGGTGTGCATTTCTACAAGTGTACCTCGATTTGGTTGATGAATCAGAGGAGCACCCCAGTACAATCTTTCTGATCACACGGTGATCGGGCGAAAACATAACATCTTGGTCTTTATAATTATTCAACTCTGCACTGAGCAGCTACGTTACAGAAATAAATCAACAACCACTGCACACAACGAAATCAAGTACAAAAGCTGAACTAACTTAGCGGAAAAAAAAAAAAAGAAAGGAAATGGTGATGATGGACAACAGTTTTAAAACATGAACCTTTCATTTTATGGATACAAAAAATCCTTACGTCAAACATGATCAGACCATTACAACCTTATTTCACAAATTTCCGAGCATACATAAACGAATGAACATAAAACCCCACTAGTCTCTGCTGTGATTGTTTCCCCAGGATTTCCTCATTCAGTTCTCTCCAACCAACCTGTGTAAATCTCTGTGTACATCAACAAGACACTTGAACTGCTGACAAAAGAAAAGCATGGAGAGCACCATGACACCTTTTGTCACCAAAATTATCATACTGCCATGAACATAACAGAACACCAGTTGATTTTGAAAAAACATCAACAAAGAAAATGGTCAAAAAAGATTTCTGTCTGAAAAACAGTCTACTCAAACTCAAACGACCAAAGCCAGAACAAAGGACAAGAGAATAACTACAAGCTGCAGTCACAGGAACCTGGCCTATATACAAGAGCTTGTAAAACAAAGACAGAAGAAAATAATAATGTTCACTTTTTGCTCTTTGTTTATTGTGCTAAAGTTTCATTCCTCTCATTGATGGCATTAGTCAGACATCTGACATCTTTACTTCAAAAAAAAAAAAAAAGGCACAGTTATCAAATACAATCTTTCCTTTACTGCCAGAAACGACATAATCTTTGAGGTGTGGCAAGCAAGGACTTGGGGTATAAGAAATATATTATAACGATAATGGAAACGTACCTCTGTTCTGTACAACTTTTCGAAGTTACAAAACATACGCCTGGAAAGGACACCCATTATATGATGACACACACAGTAACAGAAACCGACCGCACTCAAAAAGAGCCATTTCTTCCTGAAAACAACTGTACATCCCAATCAGGCAGGAAAGTATAAAAACTGTGGATTATTAACTAAGTCATACATCTTGCACAAAAAATCAAAATTTGTCCCAAATTTTTCTCACCTAAGGTGGTGACAAACAGTAAACCCGCAATCCCAAAATTACTTCTCAAAACGATGAGAAATAGTTCAAAGACACTAGCAATGACCTAAACCTGAAGGCTACAAATATGTCAGAGTATATCTAATCCAAGTGTTAACATCTGGCTACAGACCATCATCACGAAAAGACATTTCACAGAAGTCATGAATAAGGCACTCACCAAGTGGAGCTATCACATCACATCACACATTTCAGTCTGTTCATTCATCATATTTTCTCATCATAAGGAATTACAACAAGGTAAAATCAGAAGAGAAAGTGCAGGAATATACAAGAATCTCTTTCTCTGAGAGAATTGACATTTGTAATAATTAATATGGAATGAATTACTTTGGAAAAAAAAAGATCTATGTACACCACAGGTAAGGCAAAGTTTCAGAGAAAGGATATGCGGAAAACACACAACACATGGCCCAGATTCAAATACAAAACCTCCCACACACAAGTGCCACCAGACTTGGGCAACTGGAGTGAGCATTCACATTTTACTGCATTGATTTCTCATAAATGCTGAATAAAAATACATACAGTTGACCTTCAGACCAATAGAACAGTCAGCAATCAGATCTAAAAACTATTCTGCTTATAAAAATGCCTAAATAAGACAACCCCCCCCCCCACCACACAAAATACTTTCGTCGTTTCACCAGCAATATTACACCATGCAAGAAAGCCTTCTCATACAAATCTTAACTGCAGTTTTGTGTATAGGAAAGGATATTACTAACCAACTGATTCTGTCCAACCTTCCGACTTCAACTGAAAGTGTTGCAACAAGAGAATAAACAGTTTCATAATTCCTCCTTCCATTTGGTCACAGTTCTTCATGATCAAAACCATATAAACGTTGTTAAAAAGAACAAAACAATTCCTTTAAAGATAACACTAAAATAAAAACTCAGGAAAAATCTTCTCCTCGTTAGTGACATAAACATTTCTGCCACCCTGTGAGCATCAGAGAGGCTATTTCTTGCACAAAACTTATTTCCTTACACTGATGGAAATAAAAAAGCAACACCTTTCTCACATAACCTTTTCTAGGGGAATAAAGTTGGCCCAGTCTGGACGCGAAAACTCATCCTGTTTTCAGTTATAGCTGCACAATATTAAAATAGAAATACACAGGACAGATTAGAAGGAACAAAATGATGGTAACATTTTGTTAATTTAAAAAATAATGATATATAATATATATATCAGTCATGGGCATTTCTTAGTAGGTCCCTGAGTAAGGCCCAAAGACTCCACAACCATAAAACAAACAATAATAATAATAATGATAACGATAATAATAGTACCAACAAGAATAGTGATAAAAGGAATCTCATTCATTTCTTTACTCACAATACATCGTTTTGTTGCTGGTTTTTCTTAAGGCTTTCAGGACATGAAACTTCAAAGGCAAGACTGACATATGTGAACCCAACAACTCCATCCGTATAACAATATCGTTGTAAACTTGCCTTACAAAAACCTAAGTATAATATTGAAATACCACCAAACCATCAAGAGGAGCAATGGGAAGAATCCACAAAGCCATCAAGCTACTAGATACCTCTGTCCATTTAGTTCAGTAAAACATGAAGACATTCAAAGTTCAAAAGGCAGAATGTGACGGGAAAAAAACAACAACTCTACTCCCCAAAAATTATAAATTCAGTTTCAACGTATCACATGTACTCTGCATCCAAAGCTCAGGCACTTATTTCACTTCAACACTCTCTACATACAACATGTGAAGTCAAACTTAGTTATCAATACTCTTTACAAAAAAAAAATCCCTTTAAAAAGACAATGCTTCCACAGTAAAAAGAAGTTGATTATCATGAAACAATGTCGGAGCGTAAACCAAAATATAAACTCAGTTAGTACTACTAAAGCAGCCTCTACGTTTGCAAGCAAAAAAAAAAGCAGTGTGCCATTAGAGTAAGTGGTAAATTATAAATACCCACCACACTGGAATCAAATAATGCAAATACAGCTCTTTGCTACTTGCAACAATAATGTGCAAAACTGAACTTGAATAAACAATAGAATCATACAAATCTTTTAATTATGTATATCATGACAAAAAAAATTTATTAAAAAAAAATTTCAGTCACTTCCAATATAGCACTTGTTTGCCGAACTGTTAATGAAGCGTTACCATTCCAATCTCAAACAAAATATTGTCTTTTAAAAAAGGCAAAGAGACGCCTAAAAAATAAAAAGTTACTTTTCTACTTCTCTGTGCTTTGACTCAAAATAATAAAGTTAAAAGAGGAAATTATAATACAAATTCAGAAACTTTCTATGGTTGAACTTCTACTAAAAGTTGAGCAAAAATTGACACTGAATCTTAAGAACAAACAATCTTGTGTTATTGGATATTCTATGAACATAAAACATATCTTGCTTTATAACAAAATGGATAAGATCAGCCTCGGACCATGTACAATATTCCTTTATACACTCAACCCACTACTCATACAATTTCCACCCTCTTCTTAACACACTTTTTTATAGCAATTTCAAAAAATTCAGGAAGTATATAAAATGCCGATACACAATAGACCAAATGCCCCCGGCTACACCAGTTCATTTTCATTTGAACAATACCTCTTAAAACTGGGATCATGTTATACCAAACATATACTATCCTTAGACAGTGCTCAGCCTTAAGAAACAACACAAACGTGAATCTTGTCCTTGATAACTTGAGATGACAACCCATGGAACTCGACAAACATCCAACAGTTATCAAATGAATATCCATCTTGGAGTAAAAAAAAAACAGAAAAAAAATATGTGTTCTGGATGCATAATGATACAGTGCGACGAAAACAGCCTTGTTCCTCAAATGTAAGGACTGAACAGGGTGAAAGAAACCACCTTTGGTTGGCATAGGCAAATAACAGGCTGCTTCACAACACAGCAGAAATCTGTGAAAATAAAGAAGAAAGAAACTTGACCATCAACTTAAAAAAGACTCCAAAAAAGTTAACAAAATTAAAAGGTAAGGATTGTACAAGTACCTGTGGTCTGTCCACAAGTACAAAAAAGAATCAGTATAAGTTAAGAAAAGTTAGGGCTGAAACTATCAAATCTCTTGAAAACCATCACAACTCATTGCATCAAGAACATTGCCCAGAGAAAGGGTGTCCCAGGGCCAATATCCCCCAAAAGCGCAAGTAATATATTGAACTTTTTACATCTCTATAAGAGCATAACCCTGTGCACCTGAAAATCAATACGCTAGCTGCAGTAACATCAATGCTAAGTAAAGTTGAAGATTAATTTTCAATAGGCTTTCCTATAGAGAAAGCAAGCAGTAATCTAAGAAACTTAGAGATGCAAAGACAGACCAACAAACACTTTGCCTCTCACATCACTAGTTATCTCTAAAAGTGCAAAACTGGTAGGTGAACAACATGACTATTATAAACTTCCTCCAAATCTCTAAATCTGAGACACGTCAAAATTTTTAATTAACTCACTTCAAACACAATTTTTTCACACTGATGTCATGGAGAATTAATGTGAACAGTAACAGAATAAAACAAGCTGAAAAGTAAGTTGTAGTTTAGTTTTGATCAGAGTTTTTCAGCACTTACAACACAAATCGGTCATATAAGTGCCGAAGATTAGAAATATTACTAGAAAGAAATATACAAAGAAAAGGAGGAGGAGAGATAAGGTCGATAAATATTTGATCGGAAAGAAGGAATAAATCACATCAGAGCATCTGCCAACCGCCCACCCTGAAAAGTAAAATTTAATAAATTCAGCCGAGTTTTGTACAGAGTACATAACTTTATTTTTACTTTTTTTCCTCTTGTATCTTTAGATGTCAAGGGGAGAAGCAATTTTCCATCAAAGGCTAGGTGGGCGGCTTTTGATGTAGATACGTAATTCTGTTGCAGGACCTCTTTGACATCATCCACCCAAGGTTAGTTAGTTTTAGTATGAGTTTTTGTTTTTGTTTTTTTATAGTAGAGTGTTTTACGGCGCTCGCAACTGCATAGGTCATATGAGCGCGCGGGACACACCTAATATTTTCAGTTGGTAGGAAATTTTGAATTTTGCCCGCGTGGCGGCCGAAGCCTACTCTTATCGATTTTACACCACCAAGGGATCTTTAACGTGCGCAACTTGCACACGGGCCCTCCGATATTTTTCGCCCTTGTCAGAGAAGGCTAGGTGTAGATCTTTCCTACCAGAGGATCAGGGGTGTGGCTGAAAGACTGCAGTAAGAAGAAGCGAAGGAGTAGCAGTAGAAAGGCTGCAGAAAGAATCAGGAGCCCAGAGGAAGGGGCAAAGGAGGTGACGGGGTGAGGGCAGAAAGTGGAGACGAAAGCAGATGACAGAACATTGCCAGAGAGCAGGAAATGAGGTGAAAGGAGACAAATTTAGAGAGAAAAAATTTTTCGGTCGCTACACGGATTCGAGCCCGGGACCTTTTGAGTGAGAGGCCAACACCTTAACCTCTAGGCCACGAGAGCCCCCTAGTATGAGTTTTACAGCACTTGCAACACAACAACGTCATATAAGTGCCGAAGATTAGAGGTGTTACAAGAGAGTAACAAACATAAAAAAGAAGGAGGGGAGATAGAGACGATAGATTTTTTATAGGAAAGAAGGAGCAAACCACACAAGAGCACCCGCCAACCACCCACAGCCAAGTTTAAGTACATAACTACTCACCTTTATTTGCCATTGGTCGCCATGTTGGTGGAGAGGCCAATACCAGTCGCTGAAGAGGCAGCAGCCTTCTGCTTCAGCATGGTCCAGTCAAAAACATAGTCATACTGATGGTTGAGTGTGCGGAAAAGGATTCTGAACAGTTGTCTTAGGTACATGTAGTCTGGTGCTTCTTCAAATCTCAGACCTCGGCAGTAGTTGAGGTACATGGCAAACTCTGCAGGAAACCCCTGTAACAAAAAAAGTCCCATATTGTTAGTCTCATTCAAGACATGTTCTAGTACTTAAACAATGTTGGTAAAAGTCTATGATAACCTATTAGAAATTTGTTTTCTTTCACAAGGCAAATACGTGAAGATACAAAGACAAAATCAACTGTCAAGAAATGTACAAACAGAAGGGGAACAAAAATCATGTTTAACACATGAAAAAGCATAAAAAGAAGAGGGGATACTATTAATCTAATACGTACAAAACAAAAGATTCGAGATAAAGAGTCCTAATTGCACTGCTCTTCGGCACACTTGCTCGAAAAGGAATAAAATTCCTACATCACTGAATTGGATCACAGAGACTAACAGAAATTCATATAATTTTTTATTTTTTTTTTGCAAACCAAATACTTTTCTGCTTAAATACGACACCACATGATTACATGATTTTTGCCTATTAGTAAAACCAGACCTGAGCTCTTTTCCAATTTTGTTTTGTATAAAACTCTTTACATTTTTCTTATGAAGATCACAGACAGGTCTCTCAGAACGTTTTACCCTATGCCCTCTTTCTTTCTCTCTCAAGTGCTTTTTCTATATTTCAATGACACTGTCCTAGAGGTCCACCTAAGACGATCAGTTTTCTCCTCTCAACTTGTGGCTGTCTTGGACAGCTTTGATTGTATTTACAACACATTTTGACATTTACAACCTCCTTTTGCGATAACTTCTTCCACCTTCCACATCGCTCTTGCTAGGTCTCCTGAATGCACTTCAGGTTTAAAACATTCTTTTAATTAAGTTCACAAGACGAGCACTCCTGCAGCCTTTACACCCAAGTTTACTTTTAGTTTAGTTTGTTTTAGTAGAGGTTTTACGGCGCTCGCAACCTGCAAAAGGGCATATGAGCGCCAGAAGATTAGAGGTGTTACAAGAGAGTAACAAACATAAAAAAGAAGGAGGGGAGATAAGGATGATAAATGTTTGATAGGAAAGAAGAAGCAAACAATACCAAAGCACCCACCAACCACCCACTTAATTTTAGTTTGAGTGAGTTAAACAAAAATAAGTCGTATAAGTGCCTATATTAGAGGTGTTATGAAAGAGCAACGTACAAAGAAAAGAAGGAAGAGCGGCAAGAACGACAGATGATTGATAAAAAATACCTTGCAAAGGACTTCCACTGGTGTTGACATTTTCTTTTCACTTATTCTTTCATATTTCTGCTTCTTCGTTGCTGCCTGAAACGTGCAAAAACAAAGAGTACTTCAGAAACTGCAAATCGATTTTTAAACAAGTCACTTTGTTTTCAGTTCAGTACATTGGGCCATGGCTATAACAGGACTGCCATGACCCTTGTAACAGCTAAATCCTGTTACAGACAGTGATCTCAAGTTAACATACACTGAAACAATTGATTAACAAATGGGATGGCTTTATTACATATATAGCCTACCGGAACTAACAAAGATCCCCCCAAAAAGATTCATCAGTTGTTACCCTTTTCCTATCCACTGGTTGTTTTCTGTTCTCCTCATCTTTATCTCCCTTTTTTCTGTTATCTTGGTCTCGTGGTGGTTGACTTGCCACAAATTTAAGATGCAGGGGGAATAGTAATAATAATGATAATAATCATAATAATAATGATAACGATAATAAAAATAGCTTTTATATAAAGTGCATAGCCATGCTCTTTAAAGCATGTTCTGCACGCTTAGTAAATACATTGTAAGCATATTTGTAATCAAAAAGTTACTGTACCACAATTAGCAAAAAGATCATGACATAGATCTGCAGTGCGGTAATTCTAGCGGTAAGTGCTTAATTTTCATTCAATCATTTATCCCCATTGCAAGTCTCACCATCCCACAGGGAGACAATGTGACGATGTAGTGCCAGACCGAGGCAATGCGCAGTCTTTGACAAGATTTGCATCTACCCTAAAGCACACCCATTTTTCCTCCTCTCTCCCCTGCACACACGATATGACTCATCATAAAATATTTATCTTACAATTGATTTGGCCTACTCGAGGCCACGTAGCTGCAATTCGTGACGTTAGCTGTTATTTTTGCTTCACTTGCTTCATTCTGCTTCTTCATTTGCTTTATTCTGCTTCTTGTCCGTTTGTTTAAAGATTTTGTTAATGGTTGGACTACTGTTATAACTGAGCATGTTTGTCCAAATGCAAGCTATTAAATTTTTTTTTACTATATCAAATACAATTTATTTCTAGCATGCTTTTGCTGGGATCCTGTTATAACCACAATTGCATACATGCCAACATTGCCTGGGTCAAAATCTGTAGTTGACACAAATTTTTGTCCCAAAATCTGTAGTTGACCTAAATAATCTGTAGTAGACTATATTACTACTTGCCACATACTTAATTGGGGATCCGTATCAATATTTCGACCCACAAATACATGAGTGTGTTTGCAACTTCAAACAAATGTAGAAAATGACAAAGAACAAAAAACAAAAATTAGCAATGACAATGAAAAATTAAATTTTTACCCAGCTTAAATGAAAGAAGAGTAAATTCTAAGAACAGTGGTTTTTAAATTTAAAGAAACCATTCATAAATAAAAAAAGTTATTGGGATTTTTTTTCTTCAAAATTTTGGGGGACTTTCATAAAGGAAAATATTGCCAAAAAGTGGGACGTTTCTTGATGTATTTTGAGGAAAAACTGTTCATAAGTCAGTAATGAGTTGAAGTATATGAAAGAAACTTTGTATCTTCAGGTGATTTTTAGTGCAGAATCTAGTACTGCTATCACTTTTTCGAAATCTATCTTTGGATCTTTAAGACTAATATTAAATTTGCATGAAAATATGTTGAATTGCGCGACATCCTTTAGGCAGTCAATTACATGCCGCCTAGCGATCACGCGCCAGTTGCATGGCGGCAACTCACTTGTTAGGTCCGTGATCTAGTTTCCAGCTCTAGTGTTTTATCAATGGATGGGTGGTAATTTTAAATTGGTACGTAAAGTGTAGGCCTACAACACACAAAGATCTGAAATTTTACAGCAATTAAAGAAGACATGTGGGGCGCTTGTCGGTGGCTTATCTCTCAAAATCGGTGTATCGGTAGTTTGACCAAAAAGTCGGTAATATACCGATTTTTTCTGTAGGGTTGGGAGGTATGCAATTGCTACAAGTGGAGCCCATTAAAAATATTTTAAATTTCACTTGCTTTAAGCAGAGAACAGTGACAAATGTCACTTAGATAATTTCTTAAACCACGAAATTAATAACAGTTCAAGCGATGCATATGGCATACACAAAGTGTAACGTGTAATATGTGAAAAAATGAGACAGTCATAAATGCCACGTAAATCAAAACCAAGTGCTGCTAAAAAAAAAATGCATTATTGATTTATCAATGGTAATGTTTCTAAATAAATTACAATAAATCCATTGTAAAGAACATATAAGTGGACAAACCACCGTTACCTTTAAACCCTGCCAAGGTAAAGAGCCTCTGTTGAAGTACATAAGGACATAACCCAAGGACTCCATGTCATCCCTACGACTTTGTTCAATGCCCATGTGAGCATTGATGCTGGCATAACGTGCAGTACCGGTCAGGTTCTTATCCTCTCTGTAAGGGATATGTTGACGGGTTCTATTGTCTCTGTATTTCTTGGCGAGACCAAAGTCAATGATGAACACCTGTCAAAATTAACACACAGACAAAAATCAGAACAAAATGGTCAAGAGTACAAATTTGTCCACTAGAATTTAAAAAAAACTAGAATGACCTTCTAGATTCAGTTTGCTAAAAACTTATTAACATATCTGAAAGAGAAAAATCTGGTTTATTGAGTGATATGAATAGAGCAATAACATCAATTCTACAAAATATCTTGGCCCTTCACAACAGACCAAAGTCTTTCCAATAAAATTAATCCTTGATTTGCCGAAAAGAACAAATTTTAGCTCCATTACTCTATGAACTACTAATCTTTCAGGCACAACCATTTTCCTCCGTATGTAAGATCTTATGTATAGAAAGAAGATCGAAGAAAATGTAACTGAACAGGACAAACACCCAGCTGATGAGGCATAAAACACCAGAAAGAAACACTTAATTTGTCCTTCCTTTTAATCAAGCAAAAAACTGAAAATGATACTACTCTTTTGCTTCTGACAGGAAGGGCTTACATTCACTGGAACGCGAAATGAGAGAAAATCATTTAACACACACAACAAAAAAAACCTGTGCTATCCAGTTTTAAAAAATCAAACTAACAATAAACAAACATGAAATGTCTACGGCCTCACCTCTAGCATCGATGTCATACAAACTAAAAAACCTTACCTTGTTACAGTGTCTGCCAATTCCCATCAAAAAGTTATCTGGCTTAATATCACGATGGATAAAGTTTTTATTGTGCGTGTACTCAATCCTGTTGATCATCTGAAAAGAAAAAAAGGGTAACAGATAAGCATTTAATTTAATGAAACAACTGGTTCTGAGCCATTTCACACTCCAAACCAACATGCTCTAGCAGCCACCTGTCTCAGACAATCACCTGTACAAACAACCACTTCTTACTATTCCCTTTGTGCTTTTTCCACATTATAATGACACTGTCTGAGACATCCACCTGTCTAAGACAACTTCTTTTCTTCTCGACAAAGGGTGGCCTTCTTGGACAATTTTGACTGTAGGCCTACTTGTGCAAAACACTTCCTGAATCTGACCAAAGCAAAAAGAACTTGAAGACGTACACAAAGACTTTCAAGAAAAGCAACCATACAGCTCAACTTTACATTCTTAACTTATCTCATAGGTAAGTAATTAGAAAATGAAATATATGACCAACTTATTAGCCACATTCAAAGGACACAGAGAAATTATACACATTACAAACACACATACTTATCACTAGTATACTTAGTCACATTTTTAAGTATACACGTTTTAAAGCTCAATAAAAACAAATCTAGGCCACAAATTACTTTCAAATTTACACACTGACTAAGTGATATACCTGTCACTGGCAAGTTGTTTTCAGATTTCTGAACGCACGAGGGGTTTTGTTACCGCATGCGTGTTACATGTTTTTTGTTTTTTGAGAATTAATCATGACACGGAAATGGTTTGTTCAAAAGATAAGTACACATCAAAGCTTTGTCATTTTTGTAACAATTGGCTAGTGATAAAAACATGTGTTGTCTCCGTTTCATGATGCCACGCCAAAGAGAAAATGTGCGAAATCAGCTTGTTGGAATGATCCATAAGGATGCCTCAGTATCCACTGTTGCGGGACATTTTTAAAGATTTTAATGTAACAAGAAGAATTGAGAACGCAGCAAAGGATCGTGAGAGAACAGGATCACGAAAGGATCGCCCCCATTGACTTGGGAGAAGAAGAACTACTCCAAGAGAGGATCTTTTTATACGCCTGTCGCATTTACGAAATCATTTCAAAACGGCAAGACAAACCTGAGATGAGGTGAGTTGAAATACATGCAAAAAAAAGTCAAAAGCCTCAGACACTTCCTCAACTTGAGAAGGCATCGCATGAAGAGTGGAACAACATCCCTCATCAGGCAGTGCATCGATTGATTGATTCAAGGCGGCGACGATGTCAGGCCGTCATCAATGCAAGAGGACATCATACGCACTACTAATCGTGCTACTTTTGTAGACCACCCCCACACCCTTGTAAGTCAAGAATAAACCTGTTACGTTGACATTCAGCAATGTTGTTGTTTTTTTTCGTTGTTAAAATTGATTGAATTAGTATTCCTGAAAATTTTAAGAATATCGGGTCATTGTGAAACTAGCAATTTTCATTTTTACACGGTGTATACTTAAAAATGCAACAGAGTATAGTTGTTCTTGAGGATTAGAGGTAGACAAAAGAAACAGCTAAATGATCTCAGGGATCACAGAGTAAGTAAATTTTTTCTGTGACCTTGGTATAGTGAGGTAAAATTTTGGCAGGTTTCAGTTTTTGGAGCCAACGAGCATTAATTGTCAGCAAATACTTTTTTTTTTTGTCGTGCACCCAGATGCTTTCAGATGGTGTATTTTTGGCCAATATTGTATAATTTCTTGATTTTGAATTCATTGGACCCCTAATGATCTTCCAGGCCCTCTAACCCTCAAATTTCAGACATTGAGCTCTGTTGGAAATGCTTTTAGTGGGTAAAGAAGAGGCTGTTCTTAGACCCCTCAGTAAGGTCTTACAAGATTTAAGTTACAGGTTGTAAACTGTTAAATCTTTAAGAAGGAAGTTGTGATGTTATCATGCCAAAACAACCTTGAAAACATTCTTTAACAGCAAAAATTCTCAAACAGAAAGCCCACTTCAAAGACAGGGAGAAGAGATATCATACTTATGATTTACCTAATCAAAAAGAGTTAAAAACCACAAAACAATCTCTTTAAACTTAGGTCTACATTACTTCAAATACCACAGCAGCTAATAAAGAAAAAAGCTTGAGTTTATATAACAGATGTCATTCTCATGCCCAACACACATCAAACTTTAAAAGAGTGAGAAAGATGTCATTACCTGATCAGCCAGCATGAGAACTGTTTTCATGGTAAACTTGCGAGAACAAAAGTTGAAGAGATCTTCTAAACTTGGTCCTAACAAGTCCATGACAAGCACATTGTATTCTTTCTCTTGACCAAACCATCTGAAATAGCACAAGAGAAGGAGAAACGTTCAAGATATCAGTGGTCTACAATGAAAAGTTGCAGAAAAAACCTTTAAAATGTTATTGGTGTCACACAAGTGTAACAATTCTTCCTTTCCTTCCTTAATCAGTCTGCTTGAATCTAAGGGACAAACGGGGAGCTCTTCAGTCTACAGGTTTACTATTACTTCAATAGACTTCACCTCTTGCCCTGAAGAACCTAATTCTCGTTAACATGGTTGACAAATAACTGGGCAGATATTCTCTAATCTTTCTCATTGTTGATTCGAAGGCAAATGGAGTTGAGCACCCCACTTTTTATTCTCGGAAAAGTAAATGAACATAATTAATAAAAACACCTTGGTAGTTAAAAATAAAAGAAGAGCATACCAGAAAAAGTCGGAAGCCCTCACAAAACTTTAAATCAGACTACGTAATTAAAAGAATTGTCACAAACAGTTCCAGCAGCCAGTGGTCACTTCAGTTCATTTCAAAGAAAGAAGAGATAATTTTACTGATTGTAGAACTGACTATAATCACTTGTAGATTTTCTCCCCTGACGCTTTGGGTAATATCCCATTCTAGTAAGGTCTCATATTTTCATTATTCCCAAGTACTGGGATCTTAGGCAGAGACTACAAATACTAAATTTTTTTGTGAACATATATATATATTTATGCCAGAAAACAAGAACAGCCGACTTCAACTTACCTTATGTGAGGGATTCCAACACCCCCAGAGAGGAGTTTGTACAACTTGCTTTCATACAAAAGCTGTGGATGACGTGCTTTTGTAGATTCCAACTTGACCGCAACTTCCTGTTAGATTTTTAAAATTACAAAAACAAATGAAGGAAATGTGAGCATTAACCTGAATTTCAAATTTACCTTCTATTCTCTATTTTCATATTAACAAAAGTTTTATGCCAACAAGCCTTTTAAAAATTGCTTGAACTTTTGCACAGTCAGGCTTTGTTTAGATAGGATAAAAGTGTAAATAAAGTTTATAAGCATTGTAAACGCATTTAATAACTACTGTTTTCAGCCGATGTCTGAATTTTTTTTGGCTGGAGTCAGAAGCTGGAATTTTGGCAATGCACTAAAAAGTAACAGCTTTGAAACCAAAGTCAAATTAAACTTTTCAGTCTCCCCGATTCTGCTGTTGCCAAAGTGCCAGTGTGATGATGAGATATGATCTATGAGAACAAAGCTTGTAAACAGTAATTTACCCCATTAATCTAAATATATTTATACAAATCTAGTGGTCTGATCTTTATTCCCTTACTAAACATTTTAGAAGAAACCACATACATACTCATCAACCCTCAAAATTTAAATGAAGGTAGTGTAGAGTTTATTATTTCTAAGAACATGATGGAGCTCGATTTTCCTGATTTTGAACTTCAAGCATCTTTTAAAAAATGGAAGATTTCAATCTTTATTTATTTATTTATTGTTACAAAATACTCCAGAACTGAGCCATTCGTTTCCTTATCTACTTTTGACTTTAAGTGTGTGTGTGTGTGTGTGTGTGTGGGTGGGTGATATGGAGTTTGGGGGGGGGGGGGGGGGGGGGGGGAGTAGAATTGAGCCATTGCTTTCTAATTCCATAATTCCACTTTTAAAAAAGTGCTCTTAAGTTGGTTCAAAGCTACACGGATAAACACAAATCCAGTGTGTGTCAGTGACACAGTGTTTAGAGGGTAGTGGTCACTGATCCTTGAGCCACATATCCCTAGTTTAAAAACAGGGTACTGCACAGTGGGAAAAGCAATTAACATTTGGGTTGTCTACGATTTGTGATAAACTCTGAAAGGGTATTATTGATGCATTTTTATACATATTATTTATTATGCCATTGTAAAACAAATTTCCTGAGTCAATTTCTTTTTAAAAAATAATTTTATCTTCAATTAGTAGAGATAAAAGGTTCACGGAAGTAACAGCAAGACTATCCACAATTAGTTGCAACTGTAGTGGTGGTCGATGGCACACTAGGTTTTTGTGCTAAAGCAGGGTTGGGTTGATTTAAATCAGTTGATTTTTTAAATTTAAATCAACTTGATTTTTTAAATAAAAATCAGTGATTTAAATCACTTTTTTTAAAATTTATTTTTATTCAGTTTTTAAATATTTCAACATTCAGAATTCCTTTCCTAGGTTTCATAAAACAGATATAAGGTTTAGTAGACTAATATAATCATGCTTAAAAGTCTGCTTTCCCCCCCTTTCACTGTAAAATAATACAGTATTCAACTTACTTTTTTCCCCCATAATTGAAATCAGAGCTTGGTTGATTTAAATCAGTTGATTTTTTTGTTTTAATCAACTTGATTTTGTGATTTAAATCACTTTTTTTTAAATGTATTCTGTTTTTACATATTTAAACATTCAGAATTCATTTCCTTGGTTTTATTTATCAGATATAAGGTTTAGTAGACTAATACAATCATGCTTAAAAGTCTGCTTTCCCCCCTGTCACTGTAAAATAATACAGTATTCAATTTTCTTTCTTTTCATAATTGAAAACCAGGGTTGGGTTGATTTAAATCAGGTCTTAAAAATAAAACTCAGTGATTTAAATCACTTTTAAAAAATGTATTGTTTTTACGTCTTTAAACATTCAGAATTCCGTTCCTTGGTTTTATAAAACAGATATAAGGTTAAGTAGACTAATATAATCATGCTTAAAAGTCTGCTTTCCCCCCTGTCACTGTAAGTAGTAAATTAATACAGTATTCAATTTACTTTTTTTTCTCCATAATTGAAATTAGCATTTTCTTTTTCTTTTTAGACAAACACAAGCGCGCGCACGCACACACGCACACTGTAATAAAATACAAGTTTATCTATGCATAATTACCCCCTCCCCCCCTTTCCTTTTAGACTGACATTTTCTTCATTTTTTGTCTGTAGCCATAATTCACTGATAATAGCAGATTAAGGCTTTCTTTCGCAGTTGCTTAAATATCATTCGTTAAAACAAAGACAATGCATTCTGCACTAAAAGAACATACTTTTAGCCACCAAAAATCCCAAACTGTGTCGACATTTTTTTTTAAATAAAAAAAATCCGATTTAAATAAAAAAAATCTTATTTAAATTTTTTAAAATCAATTTTTTAAATTTTTATTTAAAAAATCAAAAAAATCACCAACCCTGTGCTAAAGGCACAACAAACGCTCCATTCCTAGAAATCATTTATAAAATTACTAATTATTTTATCACAATCATATTGGCATATATAAATCATATTATATCAGATGAACACACCTCTTCAGCGTGCAAGATGTAGTAACACAACGTTTATCTTGCATGATACAGTTCTGCACTCCAGTGAATTCATAATTATAGGCCTAATGAATGTACTTCGTAAAGCAACAACTATCTCTAGCCATGGATTCATACCAACCAAATCAGGAAGCTTGCTGTCAATGGTCAACCAAATGGAATTGGAAAAGAACTATTTACACCTTTTGAAAAAATATAGTTAAGTAAAGGCTAATGACGAACCCCTGGACAAACAAAAAAAATGAATGGTGGCAAAAGGGAAGTGGGATTTAACTATAACTGATGTAATTTCTGTTCTAATCATACCTCCAAAGTCGCCTAGGAAGTTGAGTCAGTAAGACATTCTATATAACTGTCTGGGATATCCAGGATTCAATCCCCCAAAAACAAGGGTGTGTCCCAATAATGGACACTCTAAGCACTTGGACTACCTGCTGAGCTTGGCCTTGAGACACACAAGTCTTTCATCTCAATTATAACCCGGGCCCGAGATGTTGAACTGGTAGGCCCCCCAGGCCCAAACTTGAAAACAAAAATCTACATAATTAAGACAATCACCGGGCAAAACTCAGTTCAACACAAGACATTGTTACTGTTAACTTTACAAGGAACCAAGACCCAACCCAAAGAAAGGCAATCCCGCCTGACCAGTGTCAAGAGAAGCATAAAAAAGGCTTACAAGTTCTCTAGGATATGGACATGGTGTAGATCTAGATTCTAGTCCAAAGCTTCACTGCCACCAGTGGGGTTGAACTAGGGTAGTAAAGTAGTCTGAGAGAAGCACGTGATTAGTCCTTTATGATTAAAACACTGTCCTAAACTTTCATATTGATATTAAATTGACTTACCTCTCCATTTGATATATTGATTGCAAGATATATGTCGCCGAAGGACCCGCTTCCTATTTTGCGTACCAGACGATACTTCCCAGCGACATTGAATTCGCTCTTCGAGGCTGACGAGGATGACATCTTCGTACAACTGAGAACCCAGTTCCCGAGTCTAGATTGATAAATCAGATCTTCCTAAGACCAGGTTAACGCCCATAACAGTATTATTTCGATTTCCTTTGTTCTTGAATCACACAGCTGACCATATTTGTGCCTCCAGATTTGTTTTGTTGTTCTCCCTTTAGCACAAGATGACACAAAACGCAATGAACTTTGGGATTGACATGGCACAACCTATAATTAAACATGATGTCGATATATATTACTACATTGATTTGAAACAAAAAACATATTGTAATAATAACAAAAACAAGAAAAATATAATAAATAAGGTAATAGTTAAAGAAATTATATAAATCAGAAGGATAAAATCCCATTAAATTAATTATATCAGTTTTTATATGATATTCAGAATTTATATCTTATCCAGGTATTTGACAGTCTCCAAGGGAATTAGTGGGCGCGGATAGCAACTGGTTACTTTCGCTTTCTCCGAGATCGAGTTTTGCGGATAACAATTAGTGGAGAGCGGTCTCCGCAGTTCCGAGTTATAGATCTAATTGGTATATTAAGTTCCCGAAAAACTACATGCTGATTGCATAAACTTTTAAAAATTCGTTTCATTAATGTAAAGTGGTTTTCTTGTAAGAGACAACGCAGGTGCAATAAATAATCCGAATGCTTCTTTCTGTGGCCCAACAGATTTGTGTGAACTTTTTGAATAAGCGCTTGGATTAGCAGCCTATTTTAACTTCAACACAGATTGTTTACATAACTTCTTTTGTATTCAGCGTAGTGCCCACAAAGTGGCGAGGTCTCTATAGTGGGTGCGATTGCGTAATGTAGCACAGACCGCCCGGCGGGTGGCCATTTTCATCTGTCCAAAAAGGAGAACACTACGTTCCAACAGCTATTTGGCAAACGTCTATATGTGTCCGCGGGCACGTGCATTTACAAACTTACATACTTGATAAAGCAGGCGATCATTCGAAAGTATTAAAGCTTGGTAGACCTACTTTGTTTTGTTTGACCACTGTAAATATTTCGCGATATTTGTTCACCCACCATCAATTGGAAGGTTCCTAAAAGACACTTATCTTTTTTTGTGTGACCCCGACC